GGACATTTATTATCCCTCAAAGAAGACAAAGTGGGAAGTACGGGCAATTTTTTTGATATTTGAAGAATGCCGAGGGACATTTGATAGAAGACGGCTATCCTGTTTGCAGCACTTGCAGGAAAGTGTCTGTGATAGGCAGCAATGCTTCAAATCTCATGACACATCTACGTGGCCATCATAATGTAGCCATTGTCTTGCGACTCCTTCATCTCCAGTTCGCCACTTTTCACAAAATCTTCTGGTTGCCACTGGTCCTGGTGGTTTTTCTTCCAGTTCGACAAGTTTTTTCTTTTGGAAGGCTGGCTGACTCCAGTTAAAAACCGCCACATTTGACAGCTAATTTCAACACGAAGCTAACTGCTAACTTGATAAACGGATTGAATGGGATAGGCGGAAATGACGTTGGATGCGGTGCTCACGTTTCGCGTATGTTGCATGCAGGCGGGAGGAGTATCACAGAAATCCATGGAAGATGACTAATTGGTGCAAACATTTACTCGCTATGTGGCAGATAGAGCTCAAAAATTTACTCGCCAAATGGAGCAATTTGCTCGCATTTGGCGGGTGGCAAGTGTTAATTTCAGACCCTGAGCACAGCACTCTATTTAATAAACTACTTACATGTAAATCTGTTATTTGTCCATCCATTCATCTGTTTATCCGGAGTCGGGATGCGGGGGCAGTAGCGTCGAGAGGCCCAGACTTCCCTCTTCCCAACCACTTGGGCCAGCTCCTCCAGGGGAATCCCAAGGCGTTCCCCGGCCAGGTCCAGTAAGAAGTCCGCTCCGACAGCTTCTGGCGTTTTTTAAAAAGTATCCCAGGGGCACAGTAAGGGTCGGAGATGTTTAGTCTATTTAATTTCAGACTATATAAAAGGATTTCTTCGGTTTTAAAGTGTGAAGTAAACTCCGAAGTAAAATCAAAGCCAATCCCGTTCATTTTGTTAACCTTTGTTGCCTGCCAACATGGCGTCCACTCTAATAGTCGCGTGACGTCCGGAGCTCTATACACAAAAAATTAAATGTAGTGAGAAGGTTACGAACAGAAGAGAAGCTACTGAGATGCAACACACTTTCTATTTTATACATTTTACCAGCACTTTCACTTCTCATTTTAACACCACCAACCAGCAGGAATGGCAGCAGCAAAAGAGTCCTACAGGAGACCATCCACAAATGTAATAGAGATGTGCGTGTTCTGGTTCTTTTGTCGCTCTGACCTGACTATAACAAATTGGCTGATTTCACTCTATCTCAAAGAAATGCAGTCAGCAGAATGCTGTTTTTTATTCAGGTAAATCTGAGTTATGATTCTGGGAATGTAAACATCCACATTGAAGATGTGTTGGTGTAAAAGAATTATCGCTAAACAATAATAGAATGGCAATGGTGCATTTAAAGATGCAACAAAAATAAGATCTGATTTGAGTTTGAGATTGGCTGATCAGCCATCAAGCTAATCTTGCTGAATATTGGTCGACTGTGATCATCAACCAACTTTTTAAAAATTGTTTGTGGTGCATCTCTAAACATAGCATCACTTTTTAACCCTTTCAGTTTAAAAAGTTTGTAGCCATGGTGCTGGTGTTTCCCCTCAAGTAGGGGAAACGGTTTCAAAGCAAAGCAGTCTCAGCATAGATAAAGTTGGTAATAATAGTGTCTGCGTCTAGACTATTTAAAGTTTATCACGTTTGCTGAAATCAAAAGCTTATCAACAGATGAGTGAAATGACCCTCAACTGTATTCTGATGTTATATAACCAAAGCAGGGAGTTGGGACACACCCTGTTTAAAGTCACACAGCTCCATACGTTGACTCAGCACATTCACAGTGGGAATCCACTCAACCACCTGGCTCCGTTTCAGGACTTCCACCTGCTGTGGCTTTCAACAGATCTCAGTCTTGGCTTTAAATCCCATTTTAAAACCTATCCTCAGCTTTTTCTCTCATGGTTATGAATGCTTTAAATAGTTTTCTAATTGGTCAGTTTCTACCGTGAATCAGTTTTAGTGCCAGGACTGTCTGCTAATCTTGTCCTCACTATTGTCATTTCTGCATATAATCACGTGAACACATTTGGTCACAAGACGGTCAGCGAGCAGACAATGTCCAGTGTGTTCAGTCAGATGCAGCAATTGAGTGGGACAATGGGGGATGACCGTATGGTCACATGGTGAAGGATTCAGATGGACTACGGGTCTTTCAGTGAGCTTGTTTTAGCATGAGTCATAAGTAATTTGAAGATTTAGATTTAGAGATGTAAGTATTCCATCTTAACTGTCCGTCTCTGTCCATCTTGGACCCCCCCCCCCCCCCCCCATGTCATACACGCTGATGTAAACAGGGATACAGACAAAAGGCTTTTTGTGTTTTCTGCTGAATTAACTCGTGATGCATCAGCTGAAGAATCCATACGAGCTTTAACTAATCACACACCTGCTTTTTTCATCCATGAGCAGATCGAAACTTGTCTAGATTTGTTTAGATGCCTAGAGATATTGTGCTCCTGCTATGATTTAACGCCTTCTAACCAATCAGATGTCTAACACTAGAACTCCGTGGGTTTTCTGACCCCTTCAGCACTACCAGAGCTAAGCCAATTGGAAGGTTGGTTTGAAAATAATAACTCTGTAAGTTTAGAGAATCAGGTTTAGTATTTAAGCAATTCAGAAAACCTGTAATGGCCACATTTACGAGAGACTACCATCCATAAGTGATTAGGATACTGAATAAAAGCAACCTAGTCAAGTGGCTGCCCTCTGATAGAGATAAGGGTACCGCCAAATGGCTCATGTCTGGAAGTTCTAGTGTGAATGAGCATATTTTTTGGGCATTTCTCTTAACATAGGGGCTGTTTTAGTTTAACCTTATTTCAGTTTTAATTGTATTGTGCCAGATCACCACAAAGGTCCAATAGCTTCAATTTAAAATTCAGTTTAAATGGAGCCAATTCACTACGAAAGGTCGGTTTGAAGTATTTTATAAAAAACAAAGCTGTATTGTTATCAAAACGGGTCCAGATTAAAATTCATCCTTTTGTTTTCCTCTGCTATCTGGGTTGGGCCATGGGGGCAGCAGCTCTGTAGGAAAGTCGCAAACCATACTTTCTCCATCAACCTTTACCAGTTTGACCATTCTGACAAAATTCTCAAGCCACCTCAGCTGGCTTCTCTTGGCGTAGAGAAGCAGCGGCTCTATTCTGAGTCTCTCGCAAATGACTGAGGTCTTTAGTCCATCTCTAAGGCTGAGACAGTCAGCCCATGGAGGAATCTCATTTTGGCAACTTGTTTTTACAATCTTGTTCATTCAGTGATTACCCAAAGTTTGTGACCTTAGGTGAGGATTGTGACAAAGATTGACCTGTAATATTGAGAGCTGGCTTTGCTTGTTTTTTACTACAACCAGCTAGTTCAACATTTGCATCGCTGCAGATGCTTTCCTGATCCACCTGTTGGCCCTACACTTGCGTGAGCAAGATCCCAAGGTGCCTAAACTTCACCACTTGAAGTAGGACCCCCCTCTCGATCGAGTTGGCAATGGAGAACCATGACCTAGGATTTGGAAGTAATGATTCTCTTGTTTAACAGGAAGAAACCTCCAGGAAAAAACCATGATCAGAATGGATAGCTTACTGCTTTGACTTGCTGGGGTTCAAAGAATTTAGAGTTCAATTCAAATCATTTCCATATTTGCTCATTCAGTCCTAATGACTTCAATTCAATGAAAATGAAATACTCAAACAGAGCAAACAATAAATACAAGACAGTCAGAAAACTGCATCAAGCTTTGACTTTGGTTCAGCCTTGAGCTGCTATAGGGTCAAAACTAAAACTTCACTTTTCAACAGAAACTGTCCTCGGGTAGAGTCAGAGTGACTTATTTTTGGTGAGAGTGAGGACAGAAAGACAAACAATACAAGGACCTCCAGCTCCAACTATAGACATTGGGATTTTCCTCCTTTAGGATCCCGGACAACCCCCCACTTAGGTTTTGACGGAACCTCTCTGCGACCCAACTCTTCTAGTGGTCAGACTGTCTAACAGTTACCTCTGAGAATAACAGAAGGTTTTACTCAATCAAAACTAAGCTGAGTCCCATTCTGTCCCACTCTGAACTTGACTGTTTTCCACACCTTCATGTCCTCACGCTTGGACTACTGCAACTCTCTTTTCACGTGTCTGAGTAAAACCTCCCTGAACCGTCTACAGGTGGTTCAGAATGCCTGTGCTCGGCTTCTGAACAAGTCATCCAAACACACCCACATCACCCCGCTTCTCCTCCAGCTTCACTGTCTGTCCGGTAAACTTCAGGGTTCATTTCAAGATCCTGGTTCTGGTCTATAGGGCCTTACATGGACAAGCACCATCTTACATTGGTGATCTTCTTAGTCCCTACACTCCCAGCAGGTCCCTGAGGTCCAGTGACCAAAGCCTACTGGTTGTGCAGCACCAGGCTAAAGACCAAAGGTGCTGCTGTGGCCCCCAGACTCTGGACCTCTCTCCCCCTCTTATTCATTTTATCTTTCCCTTTTTTTATATTCTTATGATCTTTCCTTCTCCTAAGGAGCCATCATTGTTGCTGCTTTGGTTCATTCTGTTACTTTTTAGCAGAAATGGAAAATCTGTGCAAATATTACCTTTTAAATAATTCTTGTAAATGAGGGAAAATGGAAGAATTTCAGATCTTATCTTAACGGTACTTAACTTCCTTGAATGTATGTGAATCATATCAGAGTTTTCCAGGACTTTTCTTCTGGAGCATTCTTGGGAAGCTGGACTTTAGTCCTCTTAGGTGTACAGGTACAAACAAAAGGGCTACAGCTAAAGTTTATGACCCTTTTTTGATTGTTTGTGATTAGATTATTAAGAACACACACGTGACCAGTATTTAGCGTGGGTCTGAGTGCTTTCTAAGACTCTAAAATGTTTAGATATGGATAGTTTTGAATGTTTGTTTTTCTGATGGGTTTATGTACCCGTTTTCTCCTCTCCTCTCCACCAGTGGACAACTCTGATACTGGGAAAACTCCAAGCTATATAGCCTATATACTTGTGCCGGCTTTCTTCTTGCTGGGCATCACCGGGGTGCTGATCTGCCAGGTGCTGAAGAAGAAGGGCTACAGGTGCACCACTGCCCAGGAGGATGAGCAGGTGTTTGAGGAACACATTGATCCTGAGCTGGGTGGAGGTAAGGTGATCCGTCCTCTCAAAAGATGGGAGACCTTTTAGTGTGTGCTGTGCTGTTCTTAGGGGTTTGTTTAGATACTTTGCAAGGTGCCTTGAAATATTTCCGAGGAGGGATTGTAGGGATCGTAAAGTCATCTGTAGGAATTATGGCAGAGAGATCGAAAAGGATGTTTAAAATTGGCTGAGAAAGGTTATTAAGACTAAAGGTTCTGACGGTTTTCTTTCAGGGTTGTTTTTTTTACTTGGGGGAAATGGCAGTTTTGTTGTTTTGTAACTTAAATTTAATGTAAAATTGGGATGATTGTGATTTTGCTCTAAAAGAAAAATATTTTTTTCACTTTAAAATTATTATTATTATTATTATTATTATTATTATTATTATTATTATTACCACCTTACATTAAATACCATTATTTACTCCTAAAATAAAAATATCTGAAAGGAATGTTTTAATTACGGGTTAAATTAACATTAAAATATCACTGTCTGCCTTGGCTTTAATTTAATGATGTATTATTCTGTTTATGTTTTGTTTTAATAAGAATAAAATAATGTTTATTTATAAACCTCCAAACAAAGCACTGCACAGATGAGCACTAAAACATCAATTAATACATAAAATGACAATGCAAGGCATAGAATGAGAATAAGCATGAGCGTCTTAAGAACAATTTAAAATCAACGACAGATACGATGAATAAATATATTAAGACACAGTAAAAAATAAAAAGCAAATCACTAGTGATGGTTAATCAGGGTAAGTAGCATGCCTAATGTCCAAAGGGAGTGCGTTCCAGAGCAGTGGAGCACGATATGCAAATGCACGACCTCCACTCGTCATGCGCTTTATTAGAACATTCCTTTTTGCTTTTTGTTTTTTTAGATATGTCAGACCAGTATTATCTTCCCAGTTTTTCCAGTAACTCCATGACAGATCTACTGATCAGTAGTTCTAGCAGCAGCAGGAAATCGGTGAATTCCCAGGAGCTACAACTTTGATATGATGTTGGGATTTTTAATAACATCTCCCACCAAAATATTACATCTTTCAGAGCCATTTTCTGTAAATGGCAGGCTTAATAAGGCCGCTTCAGTCCACTATCTGCTCTGCAGACACAATAACATGGTTCATAAAACGTAGTCTCTACATTTGTTTATTAATTTCCAAATGAGTCACGCATCTATGTAACGTTTTGTACTCTGCAGCCTTGCGGTGGTGAGAATCGGGGTCAGAAATGAGGCATCATGGTTTCTGACTGCTTTCACTCTGCTGCTCACAAACGCCAGCCACATTCCTGAGTCTGCTGAGATGAGTCCGCATGTGATGATGAAGTAGTTACACTAGTGAAGTCTTACTGAAATGTTTGGGTTATATTTGGCTGTTTTGCCCCTTTGTTGAGAGAAGGCGCCTGTCTCTTTAAGACGTGGATGCCTGCTTAAACCAGGAAGACATGTGGCGATCACACCACTCTTCCTCTGTGTTCTGACTTAACCAGGGGTGTGTTCAGCTCAGTTCAGCGAGGTTAAACAGAAAAAACAAATGTCCCAGGATGAAAGCTAGACTATAAACCTGCAGCAATACAGCTGTGTTTCTTTAGAAAACCAAAAAATTCCTTTTTCCTTCTGCAACAATTTCTTTATCTAATAATCTTTCTTTCTCACCTTTTCTGAATACGCTCAGGCTTTTGTTTCCTTTTTTCCTTCCCATGAAGGAACTAAATGTCCCATAGCTGCCTGGCTCTGGTGCGTGTCAGACAGCAGAGTAGTGGCAAGGGTACACTTCTGACGCCATGCTGCTAAGATGAGCCGTTTCTCTCTCCAGTCTCATAGTGAACCTTTTAAAGGGATTGAGTTTTTCGGTGTGGAAAGGTCATGAGCAATCCTCCCACTGCAGTACACAACTCTTTTAATGACCTCAGCTTGCAGTAATAGTTTAATTCTAATAGAACTGGTAAGCTAACAGCTAGTCACAGTGGGTTCAAGACAGAAGTGGATCACTACTAGTGGTGGGTGATGCATCAAATTCTCCACGTATTATTTCTATTTATTAGTTGTGATCAAATATACATTTTAATGACTAAATTTCAGCCATTTGCATCGACTAGCACATTAATTTTAATCGTAGGGGCAGCATTAGCTCAGGAGGTAGAGCAGGTTGCCTACTGATCTGTAGGTTGTAGGCTCAATCCAGGCTCTTAGCACAGAATACTGCTGTTGTGTCCTTGGGCAAGACACCTAACCCACCTTGCCTGCTAGTGGTAGTTGGAGAGACCAGTGGGGCCTGTGCTCAATAGCCTTGCATCTCGGTGCGCCCCAGAGCAGCCGTGGCTACATTGTAGCTCATCCCCACCAGTGTGTGAATGTGTGTGTATGAATCATGCACTGTAGTGTAATGCGCTTTAGAGTCCTCTGACTCTGAAAGCCATTATACAAGTGTGGGCCATTTATCATTTAAAGGTGCAATATGTAAGAATGTTTCATCCTGTGGTCCAATTTTGTTATTGCAATCACTATCTCAATACCGTTCCGTGATTTTTCAGGGAGCACTTGCTACATTTATTACGGAAATGCTTATCTGACATTGGAGGAAGCACTTGTTTGGTGTCTTGCTGTTAGCTTGCTATTGTAGTTTTGAACGACTCATAAAAGTAAGTAAAACACCACGATTGACTCATTATGCAGTGCACCTCACACTCACTTCTGTAATATTGAGTTGTTGGTAACTAGGGCTGGGGATAAACGATTATTTTTAAAACGATTATTCTGACGATTATTTTATCGAATAGTCGACTATTCTAATGACTATTTAGACAATTAATCAAATGATTATTTTTCTATTGCACAGTTAATAAAAACCTAAAAATTTCTAATAAATTCCTCAAAAAATTGATAAATTGTTACTGTAATAGAGTAAACACAGGCCTTCCATTTTGTATAACACTGCTTTAATTGTGTTGGTTGGTTATGTTCTGGTGACGTGTAGAACTTGGGAGTGCAGGCTGCTGCCTGAGAAGTGGTTGAAGACGGAGTGTCTCCATGCTGCTTTGTTTTGGTCACTTATGTGGTGAGGCGAGTGGTGTTACGACTCTTTCTGGGGAGTTTGGCTCGTGTGCAAAAAGGAAGGGACAATAACGTGTGATTTAAAAGTTAAAATGATGATCAGGTTTATTTACAACAAAAAATCAAATCTTTCCATCCACAGGTTGGAAATTAATAACACTAATTTTGCCTGTGGGGAATAAAAACAAAAGTACAAATGACTAGGGATGTCCCACTGGGCAAAGATTACAGGGTTCTGGACCAAAATAAGGATCTCCAAAGGTCCAAACTCTAAACTGGGTGGTTAAACCAAACTCAAGGTGATATTTTAAACTAAACCGAAAACCCACAACACTCTAAATGTAATAAAAGGGAGATCTACACCACAAAAAGATGAACTCTAAACCAAAACAAAACAGCTTATCCAAACGCAAGAAGCTGTTAGCAAAAACGCTAACAGTAGTTTTACCAACGTTAAGTTCAAGTTACCAAGTTTAAATAAACTAAAAACACCCAGCAAACAGACCAGCACGGAGGAGAGACTGCTACCACCAAAACAGCTCTCCTAATGTCTGAAAGTAGCTCCTTTATGAAGGGAGAAACGCTCCCGGTGATGTTCTACATCTGCGGTAGAGACGGAGCAGCGCATCTGACCCCGGAAGTTGTTGTCCGTTGCCGGGAGACGAAGGCGGGCAAAACAGAAAAGGAATCTAGTAGCGGACGGACGTTGTTTCGGGTCTTCGGTATTTGGTGGAGATGTTGGTGAAGGCGGAGAAGAGTGCGAACTAGAGGAAAAACGGGCAGATTCCTCCTCTATTTACAAACTCCTGGGGATGCAACAAGTGGGCGTGGTGCGTCGACTACCGGATCCGACGTCGACAAATTTTTAGAATCGAGCCGTCGACGTCATCGAGGCTTCGCTACAGCCCTATTGATAACTGAAGAAGTAGATTGAGATATTTTTCGGTTTGACTATTTGCTTCTAATTCAGTCAGCAATGCTAGCTCAACGTTAGCCTCTATTCTTCTTTATCTGATATTAGGGCTGGGTGATATGGCCTAAAATCAATATCACGATATATTGAGGATTTCACCTCTAACGATAAATGGACGATAACTACAGGTGTGCGCAGAAACAAAAGTTGTCCACTAGATGGGGCTGTCATGTGTATTACGTTGAGTCACATTTTTACGTGACTCAATGTGGTACAGCTTCTTAAAGGGACATGAACGTTGCCAACCTACACACATTTTCATTTTTTTATTATCAAATTTATTGACCTGGGGAAATTTCTCTTAAGAGTCGGAAATTTCAATAACGATAAATTTTCGATTTATTGCCCAGCCCTACCTGATATCAGAGTAAAACAAAAGGATGCCGTGGCTTCTTAGGGGTACAAGAAACAACTTCTGGGTCGTTCCTGTTCACTGGTTTCGGTTCTTTAAACAACTCTGGAGCTTTTTTGTCTGCCGGCGCCAAATTGCAGATGCCGGTGCACCAGTGTTAGCTTGCCGGAGACACCGCAACCTCACATACTCACTGATTGAACAGTAACTACACCCCTCTTTTGTTATTTTTAAGGAGAAAAAGTGACAATCCTCCATACAGCTGAGAATGAAATATGTTTCAGTATAGCCTTCCTTCCAACATGACTGAGACATCAGACTGTAGAATTCTTACAAATTGCTCCTTTAACTTTAATGTTTGGAGCGAGTTCTCCATCTTGCTCGCTAAACCAGAAGTTGTGTGGGTTTCCTCCCACAGACCAAAAACATGCATGTCAGGTTGATTGGAGACTAAATGGTTTCTAGGTGTGAGTGAATGAATGAGTGAGTGAGTGATTAATGTTTTTTGTTTCTGTCTCTGTGATGGCCTAAAGACCTAGCCATGGTGTCTCCCACTTCTCACTGTAGTGTCTGCTGGTGATAGACCCCATCTACTCTGCAACCCTCCCCCTACTGA